ATCGCACCTTAAAGGGATAACCGCAGACAATAATTAAATTCAGAAACAGGGCTTTAACCCCAGTTAATCCTCCGGTTCCCTGCGGTGTGTGTGTTGTGTCTCCAATGTAGTTCTGAGCTTCGTTAACTTCCCGCTCTGACCGACTCTGTCCTGTCATTCACGTGGTTCAATCACATTTGTCATTTATTTCTCTACGGGGAAGAGGATGATGTATAGGCCCCAACAAGTGATCTACACGAACAAACAAACAAACAAACAAAGACACATACCCTTACCAGGACAACTAATCAAGATTCAGCCGTCACTTTTCACACAGTTCAGCCTTCGGCTATTTGTCTCTATTACAGGTGAGGACGACTAATGAATTGTTTCGTGGACAAGGTGTTGGGGTCAAATGCCTGGCAATAGTTCTCCGGTGTGAGTGTGTGTGTGTGTGTGTGTGTTTGTGTGTTGCTGTATCTCTTCCTCCTCCGGCACCTTAGAACAGTAGGACACTGGGTAAGAACAGCAATGCCACACACGTCGTTTCAATATAAGCTATCCTCACTGAGGGGTAAATACACATAGACAGACATTTGCATGTCTGTGCATATTTCCTGATGAGAATACAATTAAAAAAATCTTAGCGTGTTCTGCCATCTAGTGGTGGAAAAGAAGTACATTTCCCTGCTGGAAATGAAAAATCAGTTTTAATCAGTGCTTCATTTAACAAAATAAATGCACAATATAAATGTATTATATGAAAGATGTGTCCATTTGGACCAATAGAAACAGTGCACATTAGATGCACATTTCAGTGTTAAACATAGTTTTAAAGTTGAAGGCAGTTTCCAAACCAGGCATTTGTAAGAAAATATGTTTTGTTTTTTACGGCCAACAAATGTTTATCTGTTTGATAAATGGTAAATTCTGGTCTGTACAAATATTGTTATAGAACATCAGGCTTCCCATCCATGGAAAACCTGGAATGAGCAATGTTCCAGTAATGGCTACAGTATGAAAAAAAAAATGAAAAAAAGTAGAAAAAAAGTGACCTTCAATGCTAAGACAAGCTAATTTAGATAAAAGTGCTGGTCAACTAAAGTATATTTTTGATTGAAAAAAAATTACAATTGAAAACAATTATTCATTATATTATATTATTATATTCATAGCTAGTCTAGGGCCAGATGTAGAGAGTTTGCAGACCAAAATGGCCCCTGGGCCAGGAGGTTGGGAGGAGTTTTTTTTTTTTTCTCCTTCCGATTGTTTACATCATTCTGTGTAATTACTCAAAGTAAAAAGTTCAGATATCTAAGATATTTAACCATACCCTCTAAGTTTTTTAATATTTAAAGTAATGAACCTTAAAAATATAACTATAAATTGATCACATTTGTCACAGGGTTCCAAAAACATTATATAAATAAAAATAAACAACCCATCGACTCCTGGCATGCATTGGACTCTTATACTCGGCGTTTTCCTGGCATGCATTGGACTCTTATACTCGACGTTTTTAGAAGATTTATTGTGAGTTACTGAATCACACGGAGAAGTACATCTGGTGATGCTCATTCTTTGTCAAAAAATAAGTGATTAAAATTTCTCCTCTTTGATGAATGGCACTTTGGAGTAATTACGCAAGTGTGGTTGTCAGCCTGAGTGTTTTGGATTTAAACAGTGTTTCTCTGCTTCTGACGAGCGCCTGGAACATAAAAGCCCCAGCCAACTGGACGGCGGCCGAGAACTCTCCGCAATATTTCAAAACTCTCTCGCCGGATGGCGGCGGCATAATTTCGTTTTTTAACGTCGAATTGACGGAGGTTACCGCTGTGCACGTGAGCGATACTCTTCACCTCGTGCAGTCATGTCACTCTGCGTGGAGACTGAAAACAGCCTTGTTCTCTCTCACAGAGACACAGACGCGGGAAAAACACAAGCACGTCGAGCGTTAGCTCACTGTTTAGCTCACCTAATGGAGAATACAGGAACAAAATTCATTCCATGTTATACCAACAGCTATGCGTAACATACCCTTACACTCATTTACAGTAAACTTTAAATGAATACTCCACAATCTGGAAATGTATTGTGATGCAAACACGTTTTACAGCTATCGACCAAAAAAGAAGTTATTAGCTACAAATATTTTGGCTCTTTTGGCAAAGAGATTGACTGGGAGCTAAAAAAAAAAAACAGACACCCCGAAAATATTTTGTAAGTATTTTATAGTCAGGATACCACAAGGAAGTTGAACATTTTTATTTGTTTTTTTTTTTTTAACGTTTAAAAGTTCATATTCGTGCCAGGTGAAATCCAGGTCACATGTAAAGGTTTGCTATTCTTTCTTACAGCACAGTGAACTGACAGACTGATCTCTGCACTCAGGCTGATGAGATCACTGTGTATCACATGTGAAGGCAGCCCCAGAATGAACCATTTCAATGTTCCAGGTTCATAGGAACACACAGCGAAGAGTTGTCATGTATTAGTGTTAGGAAGTCAGATCCTCTTTGCGGACATTTAATCCTACAACGTTGGACGTGTGTCTACGCGCGCGCACGTACGTGCGTCCACGTGCAAGTCACATCTGTCGTACCGAAATAATCTGTATATGGATTTTCATCGCGGCTGAAGTCAAACCCAAAGACTGACATTGTTTTGACTTTCACAGCTGGTGTAAAACACTCAGCCAGGTACTGTAAAGATGACATCCCTCTGGAAAGAGGGGAAGTGATGAAAGCGTATGAGAGTGAGAGTAATTATGTTTTGACTTTCACAGCTGGTGTAAAATACTCAGCCAGGTACTGTAAAGATGGCATCCCTCTGGAAAGAGGGGAGGTGATGAAAGCGTATGAGAGCGAGAGTAATTAGAACAAGTGGTGGAACAAGTGGTGGAACAAGTGGTGGAATCAACTTTAATGTATTTAAATAGTACAAAATTAAACGTATTGTATATGTACATCGGGTAATCCAGGGGTGTCCACACTTTTTTGGCTTTGGAGTTACTATTCAAATGACCAGGCTAAAGTGATTTTGAAGTACTGATAAATCCATGGAACAGTATGTTTCAGTTCTTACAGTATATGGTCACACTATATACTATTGTATTTTGAAAGGCTAATGATCTGCTTATTGGGCACTTCAGTAAACTTTCCTCTTGCTAGCCAATAGCATGGTTAACTTCTGAAGGTCCTCAGTGTAAACCTCTCAGTTAACATGGTAGAGTCTCGTAATGATGCAGAAACACCTGCAGTAATGTTAGCGATATTAGCTGTCTGACGGCGGCATGAATGAAGTGGTGCTCGTAGTCTATGAATGAGAATTAGACTGGGGTTCTACCAACATATGTGGGCATTAACATCCACTCAAACCAATACACGCACATGCACTGCTGGACATGGCCAGATGGTGTAATCCTTTAGGGTTTTTTTTTTTCTGTGTTTCATATTTTTCTCCCCTCCTATGTTGGGATTATGCTGTTGTCCAATCAGATTTCAGCTTATGCTACAGTGATGAGGTAGGATGAATGAGCAGGAGCAGGAGTTGGTAGGAGTTGATGAGCAGGGCTGGCACTCGGTAGAAGAGCTACTGTATGTGTCACATTGGACAACATACCCTGCTGCTTTTACGCACTTTGTACCGATGCTAACGGCCGTGTCCAGCATCTGTTGAACTGGTCACCGGATGGAACCAAGGCAGGTATGTGGGGGGAGGTGAGGAAGGGCCCGAGTGAGAAGACAGTGCAGAGTCTAGATCTTTATTGGATGTAGATGGTCGAACAGAGAGAAGATGTTCTTTAGGCCAGTGATTCCAAACTAGTTTGCCAAGAGATTCTATTAGCTCTATCGCGTAGAATTATCCAAATTCACTTAAAATTGCAAAAAAGTATACATTTTTCCATTAAGTGACACATGGCTTGAACAACTAAAAGAAAAAGGCTCAAATTTGATTAAAATCTTTGAGTCTTTCTTCAATTCCTGCAAGTGTATTACTGTGGTGTTCAACTAAACAGGCCCAGGTTTTGTAGAGTCAGTAAATCAGGAGTAAAAATAAAAAATAACTACGTATTATTTGATTTAACGTGTCGTTTTTAGGTCATTTTCATTATGTTTGTGTGCCTTGGATTTGTTACTTATAACTTTGTCATTCTTTTTTCAAACTGACAAAGTGTTTTCAAACTTACTTTTCAGACTTTATAATCCAGTCTTCCTTGCTCTTAGTGAGAATTTAATTATACACTCTATTTGGACATTTTTTTAGGTCACAGCCAAAGTGCTGCAGGAAAGGTTTATCTTGACCAAGGATCTAATGATTTATTGTAGTACAAGGTTATCTCAAAAAGTTCCAGAATTCTAATTAGAAATCGGACTGGCAAGTATGTTTAGACTTAAATGGAGGATACGGTATTTAAATGTGTCGTGATTCAATAAATAGGGAACAGCGACAATGTCATCTGCTCTCGCCGCTGTAGCTGCGTTGTCTTAAGGCCCGGCAAACGTGGAAGAATAAAATCTCTTAGCCACTTACTGTCAGATGAGGTTCAATTTCACGCTTACTTAGCTGTTTTAGCCCTGGTGGCAGATTAGTGAACGTGCCCGGCCTCATATGGAAGAGTGTGTCAGAGCTGATTAAGCGCAGATGCACATTTAATAAGTGGAGAGAATGACGTTGTGTGTACGTGTAAAAGTGTGCCTGCGTAATTAGTGTCCCTGAGTATGCTAACAATCAGGGAGCGACATGCACGGCTGCATCTGCGACTGCTCATCAAGCGCATGAATGTTCCTGCGCGCAGATTTATGACGCTCAGTTCAACATGCTCATTCAAACAACAGCCTGAACTCTTGTCTTGTTTATAAAGAGTCAGTGCTGATCCTCTCCATACCCGTGCTGTTACCTCTAATGACCCGAACAGGCCCGTAGGTTTCAACTCTATCTCGAAATGCAAACTGCATTAGAATTAAAGAAAAAAACAAAATCAGTCCGATTAAGCTATACATTATTCTGTTACCCTGCAGGTCAGTGCTTCCAGTGTACGGTGAATGTGGTGCCGGTGAAGAATGAGGACGGTCTGGTGATTATGTTCATCCTCAACTTCGAGGTCATGGCAGACGAAACGCTTCACGACTGCAACGAGGAGCTGAACCACCGCCTCCCCACCTGGCTTGTCACAGGTACTGTCGCTATGAACACTTAAAGAAGATGAATGCCGTCAAACAGTTACATTTTTAATCTGATTTATCACAGGGTAGCTGGGGAGATTAATTCTGATTAATCGTGATTAATTGAGATTAGTCAACATTTCTAAACATGTATATACAAGTATATTGCTAGATTTATTTATTTTTTCATCACAGGGTAGATTAATAAAAGTCATTAAGATTAGATTAATTGTGGTTAGATAAATTGTGATTTGATTGAATACTTGATGATGCAACACTAGAGAAATTGAAATAATGATTGAATAATAATTGATTGAGATTAGTCAACATTCACAAATATGACAACATTTTTTCAATATATTGCTTCAACTTCTTTAAAATGAGTTTAATAGGCAATCTGACTAATTACAGGGAAGCTGGGGATTATTTGTGATTATTCGTGATTAATCGTAAATAATTGAGATTAGTCGACATTCCTAAATATAACTTAATATGATTAATAAAATATTCATGATTAAGATTAGATTGAACTTAATGTTTCCACAGTACAGAAATGATTGGATTATTAAATAATGTTTGAATAATAACTGATAAATAATTGATAATTGTTTGAGATTGGACAACATTCCTACAAATGACACATTTTTTTTCCTTTACGTTGCTGGAACAGATAGACAAATGACAGCAGGTAATGTATGAGTTCATAGTTGTTTTTATTGGTTACCAAATTGGAAACCAATAATATAAACTTCATGTGTCAAACTCAAGGCCCGGGGGCCAAATACAGCCCGCCAAGTCATTTTGTATGGCCGGCCGGAGCTTAAAAAGCATATAAATCCATGCAGCAGAGTTTCTTAACCTGATAAATTAAAAAAAAAAAATTAACTTGAATAAATAATAATCTATTGCAGAAATATTTATTAGTAGTTTATATCTGTACAGTCTTCCATTTACAAGGCTGTGATGCTAATGTGGCCCCCGGTGAAAATGAGTTTGACACCCCCGTATTAGACTAACGGTTAGTGAAAGGACAATGGTATTGATAGGTTAAGCGAAACATCCTAACCCTAACTTTTTTGGTTTGTGTGTGTGCCCGTGGGCTTGTCGCAAAATATGATCTGAGTTTAAAACCTACTCTTGACAGGTAACGCAAAGAAAAGGGAAATTCCAAGCTCACAGTCAGGCTACGTCATTGTAACGTAGCCACTGATGCCAGTATCCTTAAAGATAATCCTCTTTTTTCCTGTATGCCTTTCCTTCTTCAGGTCGTCCACGTGGTTTTAAGCTGCGTCTTCCTCTGATGCGCTCACTCTCCAACAGCAAAGCGTCTCTGGACGACGCTGAGGTCGGTCAAATCCCCACTGCGACGCCGTTACCACTGCACCCACATAACCACAGTCGCGAGTCCTTGGGCCTCGGGGAGTTCCTGACCTTGCCACCTTTACCGAAAGACCAAGAGCAAATAAGTGGAAGCAGGTACGACCGCAACTTATACTGTACACGTGTGTCATATTAACGGCTGGTAAGGAACAGGACTACTTTCTTAAATGAATCTAGGCAAAGTTTCCGATCAAAATGCTAGCACAATGCTAGTTAACACTTTCATGAAAGTAAAAGAACAAATTCGTTTAAGATTGTGTGTAGTGTTTTAATAATAACTGTAAAAAGAAAAATAATTACCTTTAAAGATAAAGATAATTATCTTTAATTACCAATTTTTTTTAATAATCAATTACTAGACATTTCAGGCGACCCCATTTGAATTACCCCAAAGTTGAAAAACTCTATGGGCTTCTGTCGTAATGTGAAGGTGAACATTGTAACTATACACAAACTGTAAATATACAAAACCATGCATTAATTATTTGCATTTAAATATCTGTGTTGGGTGTCCAATATACAGCCTGCGGGCAAATATCAGCCCGCTAGGGGGGTTCAATCCGGCCCGCTTGATGAATTTTAAAAGTAAAAAAAAAAAAACGCATTTTATGTCTGTGATATCTTTTCAAATGAAATTTTATTAAATAAATATGAAAACAAATGGGAAAACATAGACCACATGAATCAACATGCAATGATGTGAAAAAAAAATATATTTATGTGTATCGCTAAGGTCCGGCCCACTTGACATCTAATCACGCTGTATATGGCCTGTCAACCAAAATGAGTTTGACATCTTGGTCTAGATTATGTCTGCCAATCGATTCAACTTTTTAAGTTGATTGATCACGGAGTAACAATGGAGATGAATCACGATTCAGCCTGTAATCAGGCATGATTAATTATAGTAATTCCACATGAATCAACATGCAATAATGTGAAAAAATATATATTTATGTGTATCGCTACACAGTCGGTTGTTGAGATGGTTATTTTAACCTCCAGGTGCTTCATGAAACAAAAACGCTTTCCCACAGCGTGTACAAATAACGACATGGATATCGACTATGGACTGCGTTCCAACCATCAGTGAAAATGCATTTAAATTTTGATGTGATTAATCTTCAATTTTGACAGCCATAATTTAGATATTTCTTCTAAAATCAAACGATATCTCGAGAACAAGTTTCCTAAATAGAAACAAAACAAAAACTTACCGTTTAAATAACAGCTCATTCTGAGTGGAAAAAAAAATGTGTCCCCCCTAATGTAACCACATGTCCACCATTGCCCATTACAAGGTCACAGATGTTCTCCAAGACCCGCTGTGTCCCCTTAAATTGAATGTAAATGAGCCAGATGGCGATAGGAAAAAAAAAAGGTTTTCAACTAATTGGTGTGAGTTGCATAACAAAATATATTTAGTAAGCGTGCTACCCTAAAGGGACATTTTATTTTATTACCTCTTTGACTTGTGAATGTATCGCTACAAGTAGAAGTCGCTACAAATAAAGTACCTTTATTATTTGTACCTTCAACTCTGGATGGAAAAAAGCTGCAGTCTTAGAGGAAATTCAACTGTGGTCATGAGCACAGATTTCCTTGTCCTCTAGGTCGGCCCTTCAGAGTTGGCCCGAAGACCGCCAAGAGGACCAGTGCACCCTGCTGGGCTCTGGGCCTCCTGTACCACCTTCTTCTCACGGATCCCACTTGGTTGGCCCCCTAACCCAGTCATCGCCCTGTGTAGCCGGACGTCACCGCCTCAGCCTTAACCCGGACGCATCGGGCTCTAACTGCTCTTTGTCACGCAGCCGCTCGCGGGAAAGCTTTCACAGCATGCGGCGCGCATCTTCCGTAGACGAGATCGAAGCGATGAGGCCCGACTGGGAACGAAAGAATCGGAGAGCGAGCGTCCGGCCGGGCAGCACTGGTGAGTTGGGCCACACACGGAGAAAGAATAGACGCTTGGTCGTGGGTTTGTTCTACACTCTCTGTACACTCCTCGTCTGTTCGCAGGTGCAGTGAACAGTAAATCCAACATACTGAACTCCACTTCGGACTCTGACCTCATGCGATACCGAGCCATCTCTAAAATTCCCCAGATCACACTGAACTTCGTGGACTTCAAACCCGATCCGTTAATTGCACTGCCCACAGGGGAGATGGACATCATTGCTCCTTGCAAACTCATCGATCGGACGCACCATGTCACGGAGAAGGTCACACAGGTAGGAGACAGTTCTTGTATCTAAGTGCGTGGAGTGCTGGGGTGGATATGTTGTGCTCGAGACTGTCGGGTGAGCAGTGGCGCTATATGTGTGGGTTTGCGAGGTAGGACGATTCCCAGAACCCCTGACTGATAGGGGGCCCGAAAATATTTATTTGAGACACGTATCCTTCCATGGGGCCCAGAAAATTCTAGAAGCGCCCCTGCATTTGAGAGCGGCGTTTGTGCGTAAGAGTGTGAAACTTCTACAGATCTCCCATTACCTTAGTAAGTGGAACTAGTTTCAACCAGTTTATTTGTGGTACTTCTACATGTGAAAAAGGATGGATTTGATTGGACGTAATCATGAGGGAGGATTTGGTTGAAACCAAGTAAGTGACACGGGGAGCAGGGACTTACTCTAAACTTAACTTACTGGACATACTGTAAAGCACAGCTGAAACCAAGTAAGTGACACGGGGAGCAAGGACTTATGGGACATACTGTAAAGCACAGGTTACATAAGCTCCAAGGCCCCAAACACCATATTTCTCTCTGTGACAGAACAGCAGAGTCACCGCTAATTCGTCACCGCTAACTCGTCCCACCGCTAACACTTCGGTTCATTATTCTTGAACTCCTCTTTCCTCTCCGTACATGTCCGACATATTTCACTACCGATCACAGACGCTTCAGGTAGAGGGAATAAAGGATGTGGCTGGAGCAGTGGCGATTTCTTTTGTCGACAAGGATGATAAATGTGAGGCGAGGATTTCAAGACGGATGAGGTGTGATATGATTGTATGACTGCAGGTAAAGACAGAATCAACTGTTTCCTTTCTGAGGTCCACCTCCCCTGCTCTATTTGTCCCACAGCTTGAAATGTCAGCGATGTTTAAGCTCTAATGTTGACTGAAAACATGCAGTCCACGTCTTATGGAATTCTGTTCCTACGGTGCGATGTAACTTTATATTTTCCCTTATGTCGGAACCTGCATACTGTATGTAAATACCTAGGGTGTGTCACTCACCTACGCTAACACAGTTGTAACATCATAATCTTGGACAATCCAAAGAAAGTGAATGTAGCACAATCCAATATAGGGCACACAACCGACAAAAGTAAACAAAGCCGCCTTCTACGTCTAGTGCCGCATGACGACGTATTTTTCCATTCCGCTTTCCAACTAGTTCTAGTGCAAAATTTCAATCTACCTATCTATCTATCTATCTATCTATCTATCTATAACTCTAGCTATCTATCTATCTATCTATCTATCTATATCTCTATCTATAACTATCTATATAACTCTATCTATCTATCTATCTATCTATAACTCTATCTATCTATTTATCTATCTATCTATCTATCTATCTCTCTCTCTCTCTATCTCTCTATCTATAACTCTATCTATCTATCTATCTATCTATAACTCTAGCTATCTATCTATCTATCTATCTATCTATCTATATCTCTATCTATAACTATCTATATAACTCTATCTATCTATCTATCTATCTCTCTCTCTCTCTATCTCTCTATCTATAACTCTATCTATCTATCTATCTATCTATAACTCTATCTATCTATCTATCTATCTCTCTATCTATCTATCTATCTATCTATCTATCTATCTATAACTCTATCTATCTATCTATAACTCTATCTATCTATCTATCTATCTATAACTCTAGCTATCTATCTATCTATCTATCTATCTATATCTCTATCTATAACTATCTATATAACTCTATCTATCTATCTATCTATCTATAACTCTATCTATAACTCTATCTATCTGTAACTCTATCTATAACTCTATCTATCTATAACTCTATCTATAACTCTATCTATCTAGCTAGCTAGCTGTCTCTCCGTCCGTCCATCCATCCATCTATCCATCCATCCATCCATCCATCCATCCATCCATCCATCTATCCATCCATCTATCCATCCATCCGTCCATCCATCCATCCATCTATCCATCCATCCATCCACCATCCATCCATCCATCCATCCATTCATCCATCAACTATCTATCTGTCTTTCTGTCTATCTATCTATCTATCTATCTATAACTCTATCTATCTATCTATCTATCTATAACTCTATCTATCTATCTATCTATCTATGGCAGAAGACTTTGGCAGATAGTGAAAAACAGAAAAGATTACTTTAATCTCCCCTTCTTTGAAAACTCTAATCTCCTCTGTGTTGGATATGAAAGGCTTGACTTATAATGTCTGCCTTCGTGAACACCAGCCATAAAATAATGCAAAGTCGATGATGCAACGCCATACAAATCTGTTGCAATCATGTCGCTGCCGCATCCAGCTCTTCTACTACTTTGTAAATGTTTTCCAGTATAGCATGAGGTTGGCCTTGTTAAACATCTAGAAATGGTAGACACACATTATTGACTTCCCAGGTTCAGGTAATGTACATATACGAGAACCAACGCTAAGGTGGTTATGAGCATACGTGTGTGTGTATACATTTATCCATCCTGCATATTGATGTTCACTGTACCAGCTGTGTCTCCACATGCTGCAAAATGCAATTTATAAAAAAGCAGTTGGAATAATGGGAAACTTCATAGGAGGCGCATTTCAATTTCCTTTTGTTACATGAACGACTTTTGAACCATTTGGCGTTTTTTAAAATTTGCCTGGAAATGTATTTAAGGAGTAGGTACCTCAGTGTTTGTCATAGAACACACAATAGCTCATATGATATATTTATGTGTTTATATACAGTATGTATATATGTATTTATACATGCCCATATGTATATATATATATATATATATATACATATATGTACTATATGTATCTATAATTTTATATATGTATATATATGCAAATGTGTATATACATAATTAAATATATATTTATTCATAAATAATTAGCTAGGTAAAAGTAATTTAAATTCTTACTATACTTTTTTTGCACATCTAATGTATGTGCATTTTAAAACACTTTTTTTAACGCATTTTTTTATCAGTTTCATTGCTGTTTATCCTTAACCACGGGAATCAAACTAGTTTTCAGCTGCAGCCTTTACAGTCTTTCTATCAAATATAAGGACATATATAAATATTTTAATTCACAACATTATGCTGCACATAACGACGGCTCTTAGTGGACATTTATTATTGAAAAAGCAGACGCATTACCAGCGGTGTACTGAAGATGGTAGCACTTTACCACAAACCGTAAAGTAACAGTGCTCAACGAATCCTCTCAGGCTTAGAGACTATGTTCAAAGCAAACAAAGTTAAAATATTTAAAGGCTCCATAAAACATCAAAAACTCTGAACTGGAATTTTTTAAAATTTATTTATTTATTTTGTTGCTCTCTCCCTCTTCTTGCTGGCTTTAGCCTTTCTTTTTGTTGCATCAGAAAGAGGCCCCCGTGAACTCACTGCGCCTGAATGTGAACTTTAAATCATTTTGTGCACAAGAAAATGGCTGACATGTTGTTGTACTTCACTACGGTCTCATCTAAGTTAGCATTAGTTAGCAGGGTCATGCTAACTGCCAGTGTCCTGTGATTGACACGCTCAAAGTAATGAGTAACAAGGAGGCCAAGATGGACGGAAAGGCAGAGTAAGACGTTTCTAGATTCTCTGAGTGGTCCAATAAGCTGTAGAGGGAACATAAATAGAACCATTCACTTAGCCTTAGTCGCTAACGCACGTATGTGCACATATGCTTAATTATTGACATCGCTGCTATCATAGTAGGCCATGTCCTATGTGGTACTCTTGATTTGATATGCACTACATTCATACCATAGGGTTCACACACACACACACAGACACCCCTCACACAAACAGAGAGCTCCATACATGGCCGTCCACGTGAACACCCACTCATACACACACAGTACATCAAACAACCAGTTTCACCCTCACTCTCACACACACACACACTCGCCTTGCCACTTGAGCAGCGCAGTAACTTTCGACCTCAAAGAAATCCCATGGAGCGGTGGATGGCGCACGCTGCCCCCGACAGCAAAGTGGTAGGAACATTTCTTAAAATGTCACATTAGAAAATAAAAACTTTTTTTCTTCTTAAAGAAACATTAATATAACAATTGCATGAACACAAATTTCCTTGTTTTTGTTGCTGTTGCAGACCTAGATGTGTGTAGACCACTAAGTCCTAGAATGCTAACCTACACTTACGCTAATTATGTTGAACTAGAATAATTCTTAGTGTCTTGACCAGACGTTAAAAATGACATTATATATATAATTTACATTAGGAATGTTTTGTTTTTGCAACAAAAGTAATTATAGTTCTTTTTATTACCCCAGGTGTTTTTTTGTTTTGTTTTTTTTGTAAGTTTTTATGTATGGAATAAGATGATGTTGAAGATAAAATACACAGTAAAAACAACAAGAACTTTTATTTCAAAATGCTCAGTCATGATGATATTTGTCATTATACTGTTCGTAATCACAGCAATCAAAATGAACGCGCACTCTTTCATTATTATTTGACGATGTTGTGATGAAAATTCTTCCTAAATTGGGTGCAGAACAAATTTTTTTTTTCTTTTTTTTTTTTTTTTATTGCTATTTGACAAAATTCACCCACACCTAATTAAAACACCAGAGGATGTGGGTGAGTTCACTTACAGTAGGTGTTGGATGGAAAGGAGAAGACAGTCGCACAAGTTTAGCGCTGAGTGCGTCGAAGAAGTTGGTAGCAGAATATAGCCTTAATTAACACGATTTATCTGATAAAGTTAGTCCATTTCTTCCCTCTCCTGCTGAGACTCTGACGCCAGGCGGCCGGTGCTGGGAGGAACTAGAACAAAAGGGACCTTTTATGATGAAAGGAAATGCAGAATAAAACAAGACGCAGAACCAAATGTCCCGCAGACACAGATGCAAGTTTTTTTTCTTCATTCTCACAAGGCAGATGCATATCAGCAGAATCAATTTTTTAAGACTTGTTACCATTTAAAGCCAATGCGTTTGTTATGTCATTATAGGTTTCATTCAACTGAAGTGAACTGGAGGCTCTGTAGTGCATATATTTTTTAATGAGCTTCAGCGCAGGAAAAACAAGACGAACATATCTCATGGGAGGAAACGTTTTTTTTTTTCCATCTCTCTTTGTCCCTCCCTCTCTCCTTTCTTCACTGAACACTGATTTGTGCCTGTCTTCCGGTGACGAACATAAAAGCGGAAATAGGACGACTGTGTCATGACTAATTTAAAAAAGAAAAACTGCTGAGTCTGCTGTTTTGCAGTAAGGATTTATTTTAAAGCACCACAAGAGGGAGCCTATACCATTATTCCAGAGCGTCATGATTTGGAATTATACAGCCCC